GCATTTTTCTTGTTAGCTGATTATTAAACTTTGTTCCTTCACCGTGCCACTAAACAAATTATATTATTTACAAATCAAATGATTTTCATCTGGTTTATTTAAAGCTCATTTTCACATAAGATATGGGTAGATGTACTTCTTTTTGTTTGATAATTCTTTTTCTCCTTTGTTCAGCTTATTTTATTTTAGATCAAGTCAAGTTTGGTGTCAAACTGAAAAAAAAAAAACCAATTCAAACAAGAAAGGAAAATATTTCTGAGGATTTTCCTGTTAGTTTTCATGAAATAAATGAAATTTTATTTGCCCAATGAATATTACTGTTATATCAAATTTGTTTAGTTTATCATATCCTTTAGATTTTAAAATAAAAATACTTTCAATACCAATTCTAAAAGAAAAAATACAAAAAAAAATACACCTCAGTTATTCTAAAGAGGGATATAAATATTTTAGAAATCAGAAATCTTAAAGTAGGATGGACAAACATCAGTTTAATTCCTTGAATTAGGGTGGTCTGTTGACCAAATATGATTTTATACTTAAAGCAGCAATGTTCTTTAGAAACTTTCCTCTAGTTTAAGGAATATTCATCTCTTCAAGAGCTATCTAAACTCACCTTAAGTTTCTGATTGCTTGGAAAAATCTAAGGCTCATTCAGGGTCATTTAGGCCAATCTTGACATTTGATGCAAATCAAAAAAAAAAAAAAAAAAAAAAGGAAAGCTGGAACAAAGGGATTAAACCTTCATGATTAATTTTTTTTAATCTTCAAGATGCATTTAAACAACAACTCTATCTTGAAACATTTCTGACTATCTTCTCTAAGTACACACGAACAATTTAGTGTTGATGGATGGCTGCTTTTACCTACACTCATGCTCAGCCTTACTTCTAGAAAAGATTAGAGTGTTTAAATGTGATAACTGTTGAGATTCCAACAATGAAGAGCCTAAATTGTTTCTCACCCTATTGCTGTGGTATATAGAGCTCAGTTAGTAGAGAAAAACACTACTAAATCTGAAAATAGCAGGTTGACATGGCCCGGATACCTGTAGCCAGCGGTGTATTCCTCATGGCTTCCCCAGCATTAAATGAAAACATGTAGGAATTTAAAATGATCCATTAAAGTCACACTTTGAATTAAAGATACGAAAACAGCTTTGACATTAGTAATTTGATGCTATGTATTTATTAGCATCTGCATTGACTGTTTTAAAGCTGCTGTAGATATGCCTGACCAAGACATAGTGAGACATTGAGACATTACTGCAGACCTACTCCTGCAGTGCAGATCCCTCAGTCAGTCTTTTTTGGTGCTAGTAGTAAGAAGGCAAGATAGAAATGCAGGAGTGTTTACATTGTCCTAAGAAATAAGATGCCATATAGGCAACCCTCAGTTTCTCTTTGGATATGCCTAAAAAAATCAGGTTCCCAGCCTTCACTGAGTTTTTAGGGGTGTTTGACTTTTTGTGTGAGTCATACCAGAAAACCTCAATTCCTAACTGTGTATTTTTGCTGTCATTTCAAATAATTGAAAGCTGTTGGCATTTCAATGTGAACTGATTAAGAATGTCTTAATTCAGATTCAAAGCAGCCCAATTACTATCTTTAATTCCACACAACACAGCTTAGCCATGTTGGAAATCTGTATATGACAGCATCACATTCCTGTAGGAAAACTAGAAAGAGGAACATAAAATGGCTTTTCATGTCTATAAAAATGTTATGCTCAGATTAAATGCATCGTGAGCCATTCAACCATGTGATGGCTTGTTAGACATGCCATTTTATTCGAGTTTTGACACTTAAGAGAAATGTCATCTTGGTTCATGGCCATCATTGTGCATAATTGGTGTCTTTTAAGAAACTAAGTACCTGCATGGCAGTCTTCTTTGAGTAGTTTGATGTCTAAATGCCATTGTTGTTCCTACAGGAACCTTTTGGACCTCAATTGAACGCCAGTTTCCAAATTTCTTGGCTGTGTGTTTCTACAAAGGGCTTATAATTTAAGGCCTTACACTGATAATTCTGATATGGTTTTGCATGTCTTTTCATTGAAATTCAGAAGTACACAAAGAATCTGTACCTATATTTCTTTTGAAACTATTTTTTTTTCTTATCTAAAGGTAGCAACATGCTCATTTATGTTGATAGCACTAAAACCTTATGGTAACACTCCCTTGCATTACAGATTCTAGTCCCCAAACAATAGACCTCATCATATTCTATGGCACTTTCTAACTCATAAAGTAGAACTACTTTTGTTAGTCTATTTTTCACTAGATTCATCTTAACAACAGCAGTGGCTATTGCCTAACTGCAGACTACTATTAGAAGCTTTGTGTGCAGTCTAAAGCCAGGATATGAAGAAATTACCAGTCCTGATCCAATCCAGATAAGTATATCAGGCATTTCTAACTACAGCATGTTCTAAGATGAATATGTGCTATTTTAGTGATCAAATAACTTTGTTGATCAATGCTCCAGTCCTGCAGACCTTAACTAACTTTGAAGATCTTACTTGCATTTCAGTCTCATTGAAGATTATTTGTAAAGGTTCTCAGTCTTACCCTAGATTATTAAACTCAGGATTCAATACCAAGCTTTCACTTTCAGTGTGAAATTAGTAGTCTCTTTTTTAGCAGCCTTTACACACTTGAGCAATGTTATTGCATTCATATATTTGTCCTAGCATATTCATGGCTGTGCCACTTGTGGGAGCCTTAGCAGAAGTTTGAAATTATCTATGTCCCAAATGGCCCTAAAGGCACTGAAAAGTTTAAAGCATTCAGCCTTGGGAGAACTGGCCAACAGAGAAGAACTCTTGAAAACCTGCTCCCAAGGGTTGATGGGCAGAGTCCTTTATGTCTTAGTTTGCACATTAATTCTTCTTTCAAGGTTTTACAATACAAATTAAGAGAAGTTTTATTTTGGAATTAAAATCTTTCATTTCAAAGCCAAAGCTGTCTGTGATTTTTTAATTATTTCAAAGGCATAATACTGTCAAATTTATGAAAGTCACATATTCCCAGTGGATCTGTTGTGACCATTTTTCCTTGACTCATTTTTTGTTGTATTTTTTTATGACATGCGTATTAACAAGCTTCAGTTTATGACCTTCACATTTGCTTATTTTTCTTTTGAAGGTCTTCATAAATCACCAGAAGATTTTGTTTAAATTGTTATAAATAAAAACCAACCAGAGAATAAGTCATTGAAATGGACAGAAGCAATTTCCTTTCTCTCTATTTGTGCATAGTATTTGGCTAGCCCATAAGCTATACAAAGAAGGTGAAACATTTGCACAGCAGAGAAAATGCAGCCATATCTGTGTTTGACAAAATAATGGTACATTCATAATGCTGTTGGCTTCTTAATTTCAAAAGGCAGATTTTAATATTACTGACTTCAGAGAAAGATAAGAAGGGCAGTGCAGAAGACATTATCAGTCCAGTGTGAAAATAATGCATTCAAAATTAAAGACAGCAGTTTAATTAAGTGCATGAAAGGCTGGCTTTTATGATCATATTTCAAACACTCGAATGTCTTTTCATCCATTCCGCCGTATGACTTTACTTAATAATATATCAAGAACAAAAAATGTATTGGAGTCTTTCTGCAAATTCAATTAGTCCAATAAAAAGTGAAAAATAGTTTCTTTTTCATTAAAAATAACTCAACCCTAGCCCTTCTGCTGACAAAGTGTGAGATGAGGGGAGGGGGAGAGCTAAAGAACTATGAAAATTCTTTGTTATGCATTTGTGTGTGCATGAAACAGATGAAGTGTCACCATTAGTAATGTTTGTTATTGGAAGGACTAATTACATTCTGATACAGTTAGTAGTTTATCAAATCCAGACCACAGGGTACTTACTTCTCTCTTAGGATGCACTCACAGTGCAGCAATAATTCCGGAGTTTATTGGGCTACTACAGGCAGCGTAATTATGCTAAAACGCACCTCTTTCAGTACTAAACTTAAAACTACCATGACACATTGCACTAGTGCTTTACAGGTTAAGTGCAACATCTTGGATTCTTTCTACCTGCTAAGGGTTTATAGCTAAGGGATGTGCAGAGATCATAGATCTTATCTCTAAATCGGAAAAATGAGTAATAAAAACAACCCAGAAGTGCAGCATTTCAAATGAGGAATTAAGTGTGGTATACAACAAAGAAAGTAATGTGCATTTAGAAAGCTCTGACATCAGTTAAAATGGGATGGCAAAAGGATAAAAGATAAAGATACTGAGCTTTTAGACTGAAAGCAGTATGTTACTGGCTCAACCATGCAAACATCTGTAGTAGCTGAAACTTATTACCACTTGTCAGCTCCTCTCTGACCTCTGTGAAATGAGGTGCTAGTTTCAGTCCTGCTCCCAGTGGACAGATGTCTTGTTACAAAAGCTTCCAGTACCACGGCTGCTTTCAGTCACAGTCTTGGTCCAAAGTCTTGTAGTGGTACCATGGTGAGTAGACAACATCCTTGCCTCTGAAATGGGTTCTTTCAGGTCAGGGCTGAGGCTGGCAAATCATTTGAGAAGGACTGAAACTCCATTACTAACACAGTGTGACTCTGGGTAAATAAAAGATACCATTTTCCAGAACATTTTTCTTCTTACTTGTCTTGTTCTTGATTCTTTTAATACTATGCCTTCCTTCTAGGCGCATTTCTTCCTATGTTTCTTTCAGTATGTGTTTATGAACAGATTCTTTTTCAGATAACTATTCATGTCCTAAACTCATTTTAACTTCAAAATATTCCTCTCCCAGAGATTTCCTTAAAATAATTATCCATACTGTAGAGAATCAGACAGGCTGCATTCTGAAAATAAACCAATAAATTTACAATAGCTACTCATCAATTTTTTAAGCAATAATTTTGATATAACAAAGGTAAGAATTATAAAAATTATCTCCCTTCACAAGCATGCAGGTACAAATAAGAGCAGTTGTTTATGGAAGTATGATTTAATAAGTATATGTTTGTTTTTTCATATAGGTCACCCTCCCGCTACAGGTACAGGAACTTTATACATTACCTTGGGGGATGTCAATGACAATGTCCCATCCCTTTACCCAACACTGGCAAAAGTTTGTGATGATGGGAAAGATCTCAGGATAGTGGTACTCGGAGCAACAGACAAAGACCTTCCTCCCAACACAGATCCATTCACGTTTGAACTGAGTAAGCAAACTGGCCCAGAAAAAATGTGGAGGCTCGCCACACTTAACGGTAAGTCTATTACTTCTTTTAATTATGCATTTTGTACCCTACCCCTACATCCCAGATACTCACCCTGAGGCTGCCCATTTTGTGAATTTAGGAGCAGTTGTGTGCAAGTCTTGTAGGATGGACCTATTGCTGGTGCTTGACACTGTTTGCTCAGACTAGCTGCCTGGTGGGACGTACTAACAGTCTGTCTGCATTTTCTGTAAAAGCAGACTTTTTCCTCCTCTTATCATGTTGAACAAACTTTTCTCTTTCAGTTTTGCACTAAAGAAAGTCTGCTGATAACTTGTAGTTTTGTAAGGATGACCATATTTCATGGCGTGGCATTTGTTTGCATGAGATGCACAATGCTTTGCATTAGGACAGCATGAAAGTTTTGCGTGGGCTTTAGCAGATTATTGTTACAATATACAATGTTACAATTGGTTATAAGTTGAAAAACTTCCTGATTTTTAAGTGTTTGAACTCTGCACAAATAAAAGACTCCAATGCACTCCAATGCACTGGGACCATACACTGCTGGTAAGAAGATCAAAGTACATGCTATGCAATTGCAGAAGTTTCATATACCAAATTGCAAACACTAAGTAGTACATTCTGTGATTTCTTTTTAATGTATATTATCTCTGTTTGTTTTCTAAGCATGTAGTATCTATGTCACTATTGAATCTTTTAGCGGTTTGTTTCATATTCTTCTTAGAAAAAAAATAAAGGTAGATGTAGCCAGGATATAGCCAGGATGTCTGTACCTGGCTTCAGGAAAAGGTGGAGGAGTCATTTTCTTTGCTGTTCTCCAAACATCAAACCACCTCTTTGTTAACACCACTAAAAGAACCAGCACACTCATCTGGGTACCGGCAGCTGTTGTGACCCACTGTTGCTCAGGCAGAGCAGATCTGTGCATTTGAAGGTGCATTTTTCTCTTTGCTGCCTTCTCAGGCAAACTGGGGAAACATTTAAACAGCTATGCCTGTACTTCCATGCAATAAGGGTTTTTTCCATTAATAAATACATATATTCTTCCCTCTTGTGTTGCCTTGGGGATGACATGCCTTAGCACTTGATTGGTGTATTAGTTTCCACAGGTAAATTCTGCCAATAATTTGCAGACATTTAAATACTGTATCTAAAGAAAAAGAAGCTGTTAAAAAATATTTCTTTTTGTGGGGTTTGGAATAAGTTTGCAATTAGCTCTCAGCCCAGGAAAGAATTTCTGCACTGCCTCTTCTTACCTCCAATTAAATTCTTTAATCTTTTCCTTAGGATGTGGTCATTTTCTTCTTAATTTGTAGGAGCAACTGTATCATGTCTGTTTGCAAATTCTTCTTTCCTTCCAGACAAATGCTATGTGGCTAATTTTCACCTTATCCTTTGTAGATACTCATGCCCAGATCATCCTTCTTCAAAATCTGCAAAAGGCCAATTACAACATCCCAATCTCGGTGACAGATTCTGGGAATCCTCCTCTGACTAACAACACAGAATTGAAACTGCAAGTGTGTGCCTGCAGGAAATCCAAAATGGATTGCAGTGCAACTGATGCCCTTCATGTCAGCATGACCCTTATCTTCCTTTCACTCTTTAGCTTGCTTTGTAAGTCTTTTTCTGAACTGTAAGTAATGAAGTACTATTTAATGTCTCATTTACACACTGTCCAGGAACTGAAGGAGAGGTTAAATTCATACATAGATATCATAATGCAGTAAGTTTGGGTTTTTTTCTGAGGAAGTAGCTATAAGAAAGAGGGAGGGAAGGGTTTTTTCATCATCAAAAATAGCAACGAATGCCTAGTTGTCAAATTAAGAAATAGAAGCAGTAATTTTAAGAAGAATCAAAGAGAATTAGAGCTAGCATATGATAAACCAAGAAGTACCAGCTGTACTAGCAGATTAGTGAGACACTTCCTTTCATCTCTCCCTACTTGAATTTAGTTCGAAAACAGAAACAGGAGATTAAAGGTGTTCTTGTAACAATAGCTGTTCTGGGTCACCATGGAAATGAGTACTGTCTTCTTCAATCTATTCCTCTGTACAAAGTGTGCAAGCAACTGAAACATGAGGAACTTATTTGAGATTCTGAGCTTAGAGCCACCCAGAATTGATAATCAAATTGCAGGTGTGGGTTGGAGGGCAGAGAGACCTGATAGGTAAAGGGAGCTTCTGCTGCTTCCAAGAAAGCTTTCTAAAAAAGGCTAACAAAATTCCTTACTTCAGTTGGAAGGAGTGAAAAAATCCCAGAAGGACTGAGGAGTATCTGACCTAGACTTTCTCTGGCTTGTCCTGTGACACCTCTCAGCAAATATTTTAATGTAATATTATTTTGAGTTCCTTATCTGTTAAAAGAGAATAGCTGTGTCCTATAACTGTGACAGTAAATCTGTTGCTCAAGGATTATTACCGTCATCTTTTATGTTAGTAAAATACATTGTATGGTGAATTAATACATGAACCTTGGTGAAAGTTCTTATATTCTTGCTGAGATAAAATCTAGCAGGAGGCAGAGATAGTTTACACATCTGAGGCTCGGTTTGCATTTGATTACACATCTTGCCAGGTTTTTTTTCTTACAGTTTCTTGCTTTTATCCCAGAAGGTTAGCAGGAAGGTCATTATGAAAGAATTAGAATTAGCTAATATTTGTGGATGCTCTTTGAAGATGAGAAGGACTATATAAATGCTAAGAGCAAATTCACAATGTTCGTTCCAGTCAGTACATCTGAAGTATCTCCATTGGCTTTGGTTCAGTTATTCTGGGTTTTGACTGCTGGAACCAAATGCAGACTTCAGCTGTTAGAAGCAGTATGTTAAAAATACTCAACAGTACATGACACTATCAATCAGTCACATCAGTGATATAGATTCGCAGCTCATTGATCCACATGTATTCTTGCTACTACTCCATAAATGTTGCTGGTGCTATACTAGGCATGACTTTAGTCACTGGAATTACTTTTTTATCTGACATGATTTGCACTTGAACTTCATTTACATTAATGCATCTGCTCAGAATACAATGAGGTAGAGAAAAGCTTTGTGGTTTTGGAAGCAGCCGTGTTGCTTTTACCTACCCCCAAAGAAGTCTGATCATTTTCACAAATGATTTCATAATTTCCTAAAATGAAATGATGAAAAGAAGTTCTAGGTATTGGAAAGCTCTTTGTGAGCTGCTTTTTTTTTACTACATATCTTCTTCAGCACCGCTGTAGGCAGAATATAGGCCCCTAGCATCTGAATATTGCATGATGCTCTGAGTGACAGGGATTTCCTCTTGTATCATAAAAGAATGAATAACACTGAATAGTCTTTTCACTATGAGGCAATACACACATACCTAGAGCCTTTCTTAAATCTTACATTCATTCAGAGAACTGTAATAAGTATGGGGAAAGTTGTAATTTTAAATAAAGAGTAGAGTACAATTACACACACAATCTACCGGCGATATGATATTCTTGGCTGGGGCCTGAGCAATAAAGCCAAAGCAAAGGGAAACAGTGGGTGAGCTGAGAGGAAAAGAGAGATCTCCCTGTTAGGGTAGAGGCTGTTTTATACACAGCTGTGAGTGAGAGCGTGGATTCCACAGACAGACTTCAACAGAGAGAGAGCTCATCCTCAACACAGGACCATGGTTTTGTGTTAAAATTTACTATTAAGTCAGCTATTTGGTTTGGGTTCAACCCAGTGACACACAGCGAGACTGGTATTCCATGTCTGGTACAGTGACCTAATTATGCTTATGTAAAACCAGCAAGCATAACAACTTTCATAACCATTTTCCTCAGGTGTAAATGACTATATGGAGACATAAAAGAACGAGGCCAGGAGCCAGTTAAAATAATGTGGTTCTGTATTTGAACTTCTCTAAAATATGCTGGTTTCATTGCATTCCTAATTCATTTTCACACATAGGTTTTTTTTATAACTGTGATTAGTTCCATTGCAATGTTTTGTATAGTCCAAATATTTATCAGAGTAATCAAAGATTACGATGCCATAAAAACAAAGAGAACTTTAGTGCTTATTGAACAGATGAAACATCCCATTTCTAGTGGCAAGTTATGGGTTTAATTTTTGCAAAAGCCCTTACGTGGCTCACTTTGCTCCCAGTGTTTATGTTTTATGAGGCTCTTGTTCCTAGGAGGTAAATCCTTCAGTCAAATGAACTTTGTTATTCATGCCAAAGTATTTCTTTTCATATTTGACATCTGGTGTGAGGATACATAGCCCTATGAATGAGCTGTTCATGGTAAAAATGCCCTGCATGAATATCCTCCCCATACAAAACATCTTGGTATTATCATTTAAATGGTGCAATTATTATCTATACTTAGAATATGTGCCTCCGTAAATCGTGAAAGAAGTTATACGTGGTAGATTTCTGAAGTATCTGGGCATAGAACAGAAAAGCCTGATTAAAACTGTAATGCATGCAGAAAACAGCAGTTTCTCCTATTCTGTAGCTACCCTACTGCGTTCGGTATATTGAGGGATAATGGGATACAGACTGCAGAGTTGTCCAGGAGCCCTTGGAAAGATGGATATACTTGGAACAAGAAAAATTTAGTTCTTGACAGCCAGAAATAGAAAGCATAAGATACCGAAGTATATGGGCAGATTGCTAGTTTTCCACAACAAAACAGTAAGGTGTTTGGTAGAATTAAAAGATGGCAAATAGAGAGTTGATTGGTTGAAAAAAGGTACATCTTTGCATATTTCATACGTAGCTTAACTTATTACCACTGGGAATTGCTGAAGTCAAGCTGGAAGGATGTATAGTGGACAGGTAGAGGCCTTTCCAAAGTTATAACAGTTGATGCTAATAAATATTGGAAGGAATATTAAGTCTTAAATTACTTAGTTTAATTTCCTTGTTAGAAAAAGACAGGGTTTTAAACATTTCATGATGAAAAGAAAATAAAATGATATCTTAGGCGACTGTCAACCACTGATAAGAAACTACCCTTAGTGAAGCTGGCCAGTGGACTGCAAACTTGTAAGTTGACTTTGAGCTTAAATAAGTAAAGAATTCCATTATTATGAGCAAAATGTAACGTAAAAGACTGGGGGAAATACTGCTGTAAAGAAATTAAATAAGCTGGAGGTCTCTACACTGAAATTAATTTGTTAAACTGATGGTGAAAAGCCTCAGGTGTGCTGAAAAGCAGAGACTCACACAGATGTCTGTACTGTGACTGCAGAGAAGAAGCTTTAGAGATACCCTTTAATTTAACTTCCTGTTAATTTCCACTAACTTTCCCTGATTGAATGCCTGCTGTCCCCCACCAGAATGTTTCTCTGATTTGAGGAATGCAGCTGCAGGGTCAATGACAAAAAGGTGGTGGGTTTTTTTCCTTGAAAATGAAGGATTTGTTAATAAACCAATACAAGAATTAAAATCCTATTAAACTGTTGGATTTGAATGTACCTGAACATAGACAGAGTTAAAACTGCAGTGTTACCTTTCACCTAGTTCAGTTTTCAAAGCCACAGAAGCACCTGTATCTCCTATATAACCTGTGTTATTCGTGCAGGGACATTGAATGTCTGAAGACTGAAGCAATGCATTCTTGAATGGCATGAGACTAAGGCAAATCATAGCAGGTTTCAGATGAAAAAGACCTTTAAGGTCATTGCTGTTTCCATTACAATGACAGGTTTGTTACCTGCACATTCAGTTTTCAGCCTTTATGGTGAGTTACTTACATTAATTTTAGACAATTGAGTAGGTGGTGGGTTTTTTCAGGGCTCAACTACTGTTTAGTTTTTGTAGAAGGAATTTTGGTTTTCCCAAGAAAAAGAGTTCCTTTTAGCTCCAAAGAGGAAGCTGCAATTTTTCTGCTTTTCAGAGCAGTTTAATTTTCAAGACTAGGAAAGTTTGCAAGACAAATTTTATCATTTCTGAGAAGTAAAATATCCCTAGATTAGCTATAATTTCAAAAAATACCAAGATGGGGAAGAGTTTTGCTGTGAAAGGGGTTTGGGGGGAGTGGTGTGGGTTGCACTACTCTATTTTTAAGTTGTGTTCTTGCATTAATGCACATATAATGTTAGTCCTTAAAGCAGCACCTAAATGATGCTGTCCAAGTAATTAGAAAGACCTGACATTTAGTGAATTTCAGTGATATAAATCTCACTTCCTAAAACCAATAATAACAGCAGCAATAACCACTATTACTTCGATATTAATATCTATGTTACAGATCCTTTTCTCCATATTAACATTATTATTGTTACTGCTCAATTATCAGTGAATCCAGATGGTTTCTCAGTTGCATGTATGAAAAAAATGCCACGGTTATTTGTCTCCTTAAAGATCTTGGTTGATTAGACTGTAGTGAGGAAAGGAGATTACCCCTGTAGTAAGAGGGTTAAGGGATTGCATTCAAACTGAAACAGTCTTGGTCTGGAACTTGCTTTTAACACAGACCTCTGTGTCCGGTCTTCTAATTTCTATGCAGGTGTACTCAATCCTGCAATTTGTTGTGCAGTTGTCTTTGGGAGCCCACCTAAAGTTAATGGTGCTTGAAATGGCACAGAAGTCCATATGTATGGATGTAATTGGAGACAGAATGTTTATATACCTAGTCATGTAGACTTGACAAATAGAAATACCCTCAAATCATACATCAGCATATTTAAAATGTACTTAATGACATTACATTTTATGGAGTCAATTAGGTGGGAAATGGCATTTTACACACATTTTAAACCATCCAAACATATTCCAGAAGTATAGACCTGAAAAAATACAATACTTTAAAAGATGCATTCAGAGTGCAATAGAGAAAAATGTTACTAGCAAATATAGCTCCCTCCTTAAGAGCTCTAATACTGATCCTGATGGTCATTCTGTAGACATGAAATGAGCATTTAATGAAATTGGTTTGATAGACCATTCAGTGTTTTGAATTCAAATGAATGTTTTATGTTTTTTCTTCACAGTAACCGTCGGTATATAATATTTTGTATTTCTTTTCTGAACAGCCTCTTAAAGTCATATAAATATATAACTCCAGATAGTTATCATCTAAATTGTTCTGTAATGGACTATGACTAAAAACTAGAACTGAATAAATGGCCGGTTCAAATATTTTTGTATTTTTTTCTGTCATTAATGACCACTATACACCATGGGATTTTTGTTTCTTTTGACTGTCTCTGTCCTTGGATATTTCCCTATTCTATAACATACAAACACCTCAAAACGTGCTCTGCATGTGGTCAGCTTGCTATTCAGCTTCAGATGTGAAATCAAAAATGAATGCGGGCGATCTGTTGTGTCTAAAGGTTAGATGATGTTGCTTTTGCTTCTCTAGTAGACACTTGGTACTCACAATGTCCTTTAAAAGGCCATTGATGTTTGGAGTAGTTCAGACTAGGTCTTAAAGTCTCACTTTACCCTTGCACTTCAGTTTCAGATGTCATTGGCTAGTGCTTATGTAAAGTGTTGGGGTTATGAGTTCTTCTTGACAAATTTTGTAATAGGTTAATTCCAACATATCCAAACCTGGCAATTTTCTAATTTACTTTTTTCTTTTCCAGGGCTTCTAAGCGTAATAATTTCCTCTTATTTTTTGCTCTTATTTACTTAATAAGATTTTTTTTTCCAGATCATTCTTTTAGTATTTCAAACTGGAATTAGTGTATACCTGAAGATCTGAATGTGTCTGAACTATTTATGTTCATCTTCCACTTATTAAAAACCGATAATAAACTAAGCTGTAGTGCTGTCAAAGGTGAGATCTGACTGCTTAAGCAGTTATACTTTTCTTTAAAGGTTGTGTAGTTGCTATGCTTGATGCATTTCATTTTCATCATAAATATAAAAATTACGAGACTTGTTCAATGCTACTTCAGAATAGTACTTACTCATTTCACTAACTGAATATTTTCAACTGTTCAGCTAAATTTATTAGATTAGGGCATGAGAAAATATACTTCCAAACTGCAGGCAGGCACCTCTGTAACTGTTTTGGAAGAACTGGAAAGGAAGTGGTTTACTTCCTATTGGTCAAAGGAAGATGGCGTTGCTTTGGCAAAGTATCCAGCTAAAATTCATATTTATTAAAAAACATAATAATCTAGGACATTTTAGCTGCTTTGCCTTAGAACCCCTTACAACCCCCGGCCCCAGCAAGATATTTCATGGCCCTAGTGAACAGCTGTATTAGAAGAGGAACTTTTCTCTCAGATGGTGTTTCTTATATACCCATACATACATTTTGCATTTCATAAGAACAGCCCATTACATAGTCAGTATATGTGAGTACATGGCAAGGAAGATATGAAGCAAAAACAAGGTTTCAACAGTGAGAAGTTAGAAGTATAAGAGCACTCTGGCATAAATCAGCACAGTTTCAGATCTGTGAGTATAGTCTTATAATAAATGAGTTCTAACTGTGAGAAAGACTCTTGGAGACATCACCTGCTGGTATCAGACAGATACTCTGAAAATTACTTCACCCTTGAGTAGAATTATGAGATACTCATTTTGAAAGCACAGCACTAACACATCCTGTGTTTTTCATATTAAGAAATTTGAAAACATTTCCTCACATAAATAGGAAACTAATTGTATATGATGGTATAAGCTGCAAATTTTCAGGATAAACTCCTTTTCTTCTCTCTTCCTTATGAAGTTTTCCACAAGGTGTTACTGTTCAGTGAGATCACTAATTAAAGCAGTCACAAGGATACCTACTGTTTGAAATCAAATTTCTTAACTGTGTGAATAAGGACACGTGGTATCTGTCTGGAGAAAGGTGTTTGTCTTTCAAGCTCAGTGAGATTTGAGGTGAAAAGATTCCTTCATTTTTTATTGAAACAGTACCAGAGTAGTCAAAACTCAAGGAGCACTAGATTTTGGCACTTGCAGCAAAGCCTAGGCAGTGCTTTGGAGCATAGACAATGTCACAGAAAAGCATAGCTATTAAATGAATATTTTGCACAAAAGTGCAACATATTATAATTTGTAGGCATATGGGACAAATATTACGACACTTTTTGGTGTCAGAAACTATCCATGACAAATCAACCAGGGATGTACATGAAACCCATTTATGACATTTCAAGTTCTATGTAAAGGCTAGACTAATAACTGCATATCTAATATCTTTTTATAGATAGTAAATCCAGGAAAGGAATACCTGGACGTTGATGAGCTGCCTAAACAGAAACATGGTTCTGATCTTTTCTACCATTTTCACATTACCTCTTTAACATCACTGAGGTTTCAGTGAAGTCCATGATGTAATGTGGACTTTTAATTATGCAAAGATTAATGTAATATTTCTGATGAAAGGGTAATTGAATGAAATCTGAAAGAAATGGACCATGCATGAGTTAACTCCAAGCTCCAGCTGTGTTAACTCTCTTTTCTATGTTAAATCGGAATTAGAGGATGAATGTATCTTGGGTAAAGTTCATTCCTGTATAGCAGGTCAGCATGAAACTTAAACGCCTTTAATTTTTATGATGTCTTAACTGCAATATGGGAAGCATAGTCTGTGTAATGAGGAGTGATTTGGTCTCATAAGGAACACATCTTTCAAAGGCTTTCATTTTCTTCTTTTAGATTTGTTTCTTTAAAATAAGCAGGGAATTGAGTCACTAATATGTAAATATGTTCAGAGAAAGCTAGAACTAGGGCTGCAACAGGGAAAGCTAGAGTGCTTGGAAGATGCCAGAGCATTTTCTGAAATCAGAAGTCATTTTGCAAAACAGATTGTTTATTAGCTGATTAGGATGTTTCTGCTGGAATGTGAGCTCTTGGCCACCTGAACAGGAGTGAATGAGGTTATGTGCTACCAGTTGCCTATTTCCTAGTATGGGTCATCACGAAATCGTTGCCGTACAGTTATGTGCACTTATTCTCCATTTACTTCTATCAATCATGTGGATTACCCTAAGAAATAAACTTTGTAGCCCACTGTGAAATAAACAGAGAGCTATAGTCATTTACTAAGTCAATACTATGAACGCTTAGTCTGTATAAGGCAGCAGTCTCCTTTTCCAGTTCAGCATCTAAAACCCCAGGACTAGATGACCATTCAGATCTATGCTGTAGAGTTTGCTACCAGCATCAACAACTCTTTTGACATTCCAATTACAGCCAACATCAATAGACTTTAGTGGGAGTAGGAAGGGGTTGGTTTTCTTCTTTTTCCATTTAAGTTTCTACATCATGAATCTCCTGACCTTAAACTGAACACTTAGACCTATATGCCTATAGCATTATTATACTTCATACTATTAGCACATTAGATCAGATAAACATGTACAATGTTTGTCAGTTTTCTTGACCAGCCAAAGCAAATATCATCTTCCAATGCCAAAGTACTAATGCCAACAGACACCATCTGCTTCTGATAATGAGCTGTGCTTTCTTGTCTGAGACCCATTAACCAGAATAGTAATAATTCAGGCAGCTAGCACATAAAAATAACCCTGCCTATTTCACTGTTATCTCACTATTTGACTGTTATCTTAAAAGGAATGTGGCTGAATGTATCTCTCAAGTAGAGAGCAAAGGAGAACTGTGAGATAAAAATGGTGAAGATCACATTAGAGACTTCAGAGAGAGTGAATTCTGGAGAAGGAAGTTATATATAGCTATGTTAGCTGTATGCTGCTTGTGCATTCCCCAGACACCTTCAGGGAAAGGTGGGGGTAACGGTGTGAGGACAATGATGCACACACTGCCATTGTGGCTTTCATGCCTGCAAACATGTGCAGCACATTACTTGTTGTAGCTTGACAGAAATCACATTGAAAACAACACATGTTGTGTTATGATTCTTGAGTGCTGAGACCAGCAATGGAGACAGTGTTGCTCTTAACAACCAAGAAATGATTACTAGGCATAATGATCATTAGCGTACAGATCTAAACCTGCCAGGCACAGGCTTACCAGGGTATAAAGTTCCTAAAAGAGATAGTTAGCATGGATCAGCAAATGTGCTCCCTGCACACATTATTTGCACATTTTATGCTCAAAGCATTCCTTAAATACTACTATCTTTTACGTGCTGTTGCCATCTGCAAACTTTACCTCATGCATGATATAAAATACATAACAATGGGTTAAAAAAATTAAATGAACAGCACAATCTCATTGAAGCCAATGGATAAACCCTGGAAGTCAGTAATCTTTAGGTTATCTCTTTAGACATGGGTTTAAAATAAGTAGACCCTAATAATTTGGCAGTGTGTGTGTATTTCTAGAACTTTCCTTTGGTCCTTCTTCATGGGGAGAATAAAGAATAAAAAAGGTAAGCAAGAAAACTGCAATTTCTATACAGAAAACAATAATGAACATTGGAAATCCAGTTGGGATAACAGAGAGGTTTTAAGTTTGGAGATCCCCAAAGAATTTACAACAGAGCAGTTGTGCTGATTTCAGCGGATTTGCTTAGATTCATCATTGAGTTTTCTGCACAGTTGTTTTTTGTTGATTTGTATAGATTTGGTATTCAGGGAGTTACTGCCCAGAATGTTTGTCCAGTAACAAACACATGATATCATTGTAAGAGAATATTTTTAGAAAGTATATTTGTAGAGGGTAGATTCCATTATTAACTGCAGAAACTAAATGTAGACTAACTTCTGTAGTGGACTTAAGCAATTTCGTGTGCAATGGAAAGAACAATCATGGATTTTATCTCAAGCACTCTTACTGGAACTACTGAAGATTATTACTACTGAATTTTATAGCCCATAATTTTGAATGTTGAATCTGATTTTAAAAGCCAAGAGTCACTCTTTCAGCAATCCACTTTTATAAAAGGGTCAAGTCATCATTAATGAGCAGAGGCATATATCCTATTCTTCCAAACAATGTCTGGAATAAGATAATTCTTTAAACATAACTTAAGCTGAGGCTGGTGAAAGGGCTGAGCCGAATTCATAATACTACTGGCACCCTTTAACCATGCCAAGATTTTTGTAGATGTGTCAGCAAAGCAGACGTTAAGGAGACAGCATTTCGTGGAGCTCCTGTTATGTGGGAAAGCTTGGGGAAAACCCCAAACATGTCAATGAAATCTGCCATCATGGGCTGTGAATGAGAGGAAAAACAGGTAACGCAGGGAT